CTCCTTTTTGGGATTGGTTTCAGTCGGTTAAAAATGTAATATTATGTAAATAAGAACAACGACATAGGTAGCCCTGAAGACGCAGTTCAGTTTTTTTTTTCAGTTTTTATGTTTCATTATTGGAATGATCTAGGAGAGGGCTGGCGAAGTAGTTTTGGTAGTTACCTATGATGCTAAAAACCTAATTCGTTATCAATACTGAAATTCGAGATTCAATACTAATGTGAACAATTCACATCCAGGAAAGTCATTCAATATTTTACCCAATCCAGAGATCTATACTGAGACCACATACTCTGCAATACACAAGTAGAAACTTAAATAAATAAACACTAAACTCAACCAACTAAAGCAGCTTAAATTCCAATTAAAAAACATTAACCTCTTTAAACCAATTTGACAAAACTATTAATTAAACGGCTCGGACAACTGAACGCTCGAATAGGCCTAACTCAATTGAACCCCAGATTTTATCAAGAACCCATAAAATGGTACTTTTATGTTTCGAAAACCTCCAGGAGGTTAATTAATGACCATGTAAGACCATATTACACCACGACTTACGACCCTGAGCTTATAATAAACTTGGGAACATCGTAACATGTGTTTTTCGGATAATATTATTGAAAATTTTAATTAATTGCCCGATAAAACTCGGTTTGATGGTTTTAGGGAACCTCCGATCTTTTTGGGACAAAAAGGAGGCTCTAATATATCGGAGGATAGTCTCAAAGTGACATGTCACGGCTTGTTTCTTGATGTCAACGTTTTGTTTATTTTAAAGACCATTTCTGGAATGAGAAAAAGAAATCGGGTCGTTCGAAATTCAAGGATCGGTTATGTCATCTGATTCTGTTGTATTTGTAAAAATACCACATATTTAGGTAACTTTGCCAATTTTGTGACGATCGTCATCAAAGATAAAGTCACTAAGGCATTCTTTTCATTCTTCCAAAACATTATTATCGTCTTCGAATCTCTTCTCATCATGACCTTTAGTTATAACGATTAAGTTACAGAAAACAATTTTATTTACTGGTCGACACTTCTATAATTTCATAAGACAGTATTGGTCTCTCCGTGTGGTCTTGGCTTGAGAAAGGGTACCACTATGACACTTCACCGTGATTTAGAGCGCGTGTGAGGATCGAGAGGCGAGATCTTTTAACATTTAGTTTAGTCCTTCTTTATTGTGGTGTAGTTAGAAACCGATTTTGTTAAGAAGCCTTGATGGATAGTATTTCTATATTTCTGTAATATTCTAAACCCGTCGGTGCTTTTTCGTTCGTCGTTTCGTTTCGTTCGTCGGTTCTTTTTAGTCTTTTCTTCTGTTGGCTAGTTACCTTGTTGATATTTTCCTAAAATTTTGGTTTAGGTGTTTAGAAATCCGAAGCTGCGGACAACTTTTAACGGGTTAACGGGGCTACTATTCAATGCAGGAGTAGAAACGGGGTGGCTTTTAGTCAGTAAGAGTCTGACACTCCTTTTCACCTCACACAAGGCAGGAATCAAATGGTGAAGTCATTGGATGATTTGCTCCCCTTAAAAAAGTGTTTAGACAGGACTCAGTACTTTTAATGTGTCTTCACATACGTAGTAACAGTTGGTCATAAAGCGTATGAATATCACAATTAGCTAAACGTGATTTCTGAAATTTATATCACCTACTTCATTGTATATTTATGTATGTAGATTATCCCTCTTTAAACATTCTAACCCTAATCGAGGATTAGCATATCAGCCGTAATGTGAAGGCTGATTAATATACCGGTAAATTAAGATCTGTCTGTGGCGTGGTCTGCCAACACATGAGTCACTGTATCTGGGACGTTTGGCACGACCCTCAATACTGAACGAATGTGGTGTACGAATGGACAATGATCTTTTTCAAATAGAGTACTCACTGTGTTGTCTTAGATTAAAAGGATATTTTTGAGTCTTATAATTTTCGACAATAGTTCATAGAGAAAAAATAACATCAACAACAACAGCGCGTGACTATCCACTGCTGTAGTCTAGCTAGATTATAATTGAAACAAGTGAATTTATTTCTACAAATAGGCTACAAGGCAGTGCTTTTACACGTCAATTTTTCAAGCGAACGATGAATTCGACATTTCCTAACTGACTACTCTGAAAAGAAACAAACTCAGAGGTCCGTCTCTTTATATAGGTCTCCTCTTTATAAATAAAGGATTTGTCATAATTTTTCCGCTTGCTGGTTTAGAAATTACAGTTCAAAAGAGCACGGCTGCCCAATCTCTGCTAAATGAGTAATTAGGTTTAAGAGGAAGTAATACTTTTACACCATCCACGAACAACAACTTTTACAACGTTTTTATAACAGCTATCGTGAGACATACTAAATTAATCACGTTAATATACTGAGAAAAGCTCTTCTAATTTCGAGGCGACCCGCGATTTTTAGTTAACTTTGACAACATCAGCAATCAGCATCCATCCATGTTCTATGTGTCGCGGAGAACCTAACGGGTAACCGGGGCTCCGGCTCGACGTGCAGGAGAAGGAACGGGGTGGTTTTTAGTCAGTAAGAGTCTGACACTCCCTGCCGCCTCGCCTAGGCGGGAGCATTCATTCGATGATTTTCTCCCTTAAAAAAAATCCATGTTCTATGTCATAATTATGTCACTTATGTCAGTGTTCTTTCCACCTTCTTGATGGTTTTCGAATTATCTTCCCTTAATCTGTGTCAGTAATGAATGCCGAATTATCCAATTCAACGCAGTCGTTTTGAAGCTATGCGTGTATTCCAAATTGAATGAAATTACACAACTGATTTCTAAACGTTTCAATCGGGATGTGGCTGTGGTTCGCCAGATTTGAACTCTTTAATGTCCATGTCCATTCAATTAATGATAATGACTATATGAATCATAATTACTGATTAAATGTGAAGCAATGTTGGTTTCAAGTACGTGTTCAAATAGCATCATTCTTTTTGCTTGTCCCAGGAGTAGGTAAAGGCAGTTTATTGTCAGTAATAGTCCTATGTAATAAGGGAATGATATTTGCTGGTTAAATGAACCCGTCGGCGTTAGGTCTAAATTGATGTTAGCACAAATGTCCATGTACACGTAGATATAGTCGAGACACAATTCATTTTTTCTACAGACTTCGTTTCCTGATTACCTATACCAAACGATTGTTTACGTGATTAATAATATTTTTGAGGCACAGTCATGTAAATTGTTGTAAAACTATAACGAAATCTTGCTGAACTTTATAAAATATTAGAATAATGAAGCATAGTATACGAAATGATTATTACAACATAATGTCAATGATATCAATAGAAATAAATCACAAAACTCTCAATGAATGACTTTAAGTTTAATCCTTTGATTAACCCATGAAAGTTAAATATAGCGTTTAAACGTAAACGTCCATTTGACACGCCCAATTTTACACAAAACTCATAAAATTATAATAAAATTAAAACATTACGAAAACAGAAGAACAAAGAAATTGTCTATGACTGATGTTAAACACCAAAGAGGTGTATAACATCAGTCAAGCGGAAGTTATGTGCGTTCTAAATTCGAAGTATTCTTGTCTCTGTTTGATTTTGTATTTGGAATTCCGATATTTTGTATTTTATTTTGTTACTTTTGGCCTTTTGGCTTTTTATAAACATTTCTTTCTGCCGATTGTATTTTAAAATCTAAATTAACACATTAGATGTCTTCGTGTTTTAATTTTTTTCTGTTCTAGGAATTTTCTAATAAACTACGTCTGTATTTCAGCTGTTCTTACTTTGTTTAATTCGATGTCTTTATTCGAAGATTTATCTGAAATATTTTCGCCTAAATCTGTTGCCAGAATATTCGTAGTATCATTGTAACTGAGTATAGTTTTAGTCAGTTTTAGGTGTAATCAAAAAATCGCTACTAACATTGAATTCACATTTTTGTTTTCCCATTTAGGTACATATCGTTCATTCTAAGATTATTCAGACACCACTGACAAACGGTGAAGGAAAACATCGTGACGAAACCTGGGCTTATAATTTCTAATTATACGTTTGAAATCGCCAACCCGCAATGAGCAAGCGTTGTGATTAATGCACAAACCTTCTCCAGGTGAGAAGACACTTTGCTCAGCAGTGGTCTTTCGATGGTTGTTGATGATGATGTACCTATCGTTCTTATAATTGGCTGGTCATATTTTTGATGGCAAAAGAACTGATAGATTGAAAGCGACTCTCAACACTACAAGTCCGCTGCCTTTTCATCTTTTTATCAAAATTATGCAATTTTCATAGCACCATTCTTATTACCACTCTTATCATGGTGTTATAAATAACAATTTCCATCATTTCTTCATACCCTATCAGTCAATACTTAGGTTAAGAACCTTGTTATTGAATTTAGATTAAAAACTGCGGATAATAATAAATGACAGAAGATTAAATCACATCCTGGGCGGTAGACAGGCACTTTTAATGACAGAAATCGAGGACCTATCTTTTTAATGGCTTTCAAATTAATAACGAATTGGATTTGTTTGTCTTAGGATACATAAACAGCTACCTAAGCATTTTTTTTTTTTTAAAACGCACGTGTAGGTCCAAATAGACACTTAAACAGAACACAGAAAATTAGTCAGGTATTGGGAAATAAGCCCTTATAATGCGATAAGAGTGTTCCGTAAATCTGTCTGCGCCGTCAATCAGAACAAATTGTGTGCAGGAGTCTGTTGCTCACATCATTTATCTACTTCTAATAATGATTTCATTAAGTAATCTGTTAACTAATAGATTAAGTACAAACAAATTGTCCACCGTATTTACTTTCTAAGAATATTAAAGCGTATGTGAAACCACTAGTCTTTAGTCACTATGAAACAAAAAAATTGGTTTGTTTACACTTTGTGAGCTTTTTGTCTCCCCATTCAATGTAAATGTTTAGCACTAAACAAAACACGGCTGCCGTCGGCTGGCGATTTTTAAAAATAAGGAAGACAGGCCGTGGCATACTCACACTCATGTGCACCGCTAAATTAAGATCCGTCTCACATCACACCAACAGCTTTAACAAGCTAAATGCTAAAAATAATATCCCCACCAATGACGAAACACAACCTATTTACGTTTTACTATTCAAAACTGAAAAACCGTTACGAATTTATAAATCGAACACAGAAAATCACCTCCAAACAAAACACACTGGCATACAACACGAATAGAATTCGAAATTCGATTTTTTTTTAAATGCCGTCAATACCAAATTTGAAACGCGTGCGCGCCGTTCGAACGCTAAAATGGAACTGGTTTGACATGAACTTCCGTCGGGCCGTGCGATTGGTTGAGGTGAATTAAAGAGATGGAATCGTCCAATGGGGGTGTTTGGTGGTGTTGAAGGGTACCGCCTCTTATTGGTTGGTGTGTAGGTTCGCCATTTTTCAGTTTCGTGAAACAATTGGGTTTGTTATGTAGGCGGTTTCTGACTATCACGGGTTAGCAATTTGTGTGGTGGTATGGGTATTTTCGATGCGTCCCACAATGCGGGGATATATTTTCCAGCTGACATTATTAAATCATGTGGTTCTGATGTAGCGGGTGGAAGTCTTTCTCGGTCAATCAGACTGTTGGGAGCTAATTTTGAATGTGACAGTGGCGGTGGGCGATACAGGTCGCAGTGTCGATGGACTTTCGCCAATGTGTTTGTTAAATGCTTCTAGTAAATGTTATTGTTTTATATTGAGCTTACAATGTTTTGTTGCCTGAACTCAAACGCTGAAATCATCAAAATTCAGTTTAACAGACGCAATAGAGGAATTACTTTCCAGAAACTTTTGTAGGCTAATGTAATATGAAATGTTAGGGCGAAGATCTTGTTCACTGAAAACAAAAATACGGAGACAAAAACATAATATGTTTAACATAAGATAACATCACGCCTTTTATCCCCGAAGGGGTAGGCAGAGGTGCACATTATACCACTGTACAATGTAACACCCACTTTTTACTATTTATGTTATAAGTCCCACGTAATAGGGGATGAGCCTATTGCCATATACCGGGCACAATTCCAGACTCCGTGCTACTACTGAGAAATTTAAAAAGTCGATATGTCTAACATATCGTCACCTTTATGGTAAACTTACGAAACTGCAAAAACCAAACTTTACGTTTACGTTTTAGCGTTTGAAAACTTTAACCTAATAATTTCTGCGATAAATTTCAGTTTCAAAATCCGCCTGTTTTTATTATTTACTATGAATGGATTGTACCTACATATCAAGTCATTAATTTTATAAATCTTTTAGGAGATGTAATTTCTTACTCTGACTTATTTATCTACCTACCTACCTACCTGCTTACTACGAATTTTGACACAAACAATATTTTCATCACGAAACTAGACTTTAAACAAACATGAACACATCGTCGTCTGCCCTTAGTCCCTTACCGACCATTCACAAACTCCAGACATTCCAACCTCCTTTCTAAAACAACGCATAGTCATCCTGTTTCATTCAATTGCACTTAATTATATCGTTCCCATATAAAATCAAGCTGACTGTTGCCACGTGAGCAAATATTACAACGCTACATTGTTACGATCTATATTTGAATAGGATAAAGACTCTTAGTTTGAACGTGACGACTTTTGGTACGAAAATTTCACGTATGTCACGACACGACATTGTGTCGTTATGCCTAAAGGATTATGTTAATGTACCTACAGGGTGACCTATGTTAACCTTGCTTAAATTAAAATTTATTTGTAATTGTAGCACAATACGACCGATACCGATACGACCTTCAAACCTTCAAGAAAAGAGCATATATTATTCGTTTTTAAAAGGCTGACAATGCACCTATGATTCTCCTATGGATGTGGGTGTCCATGGGCGGAAGGCTTAACGGGTTGCCGGGGCTCGGCTCAAAGTACAGGAGTAGGAATGGGATGGTTTTTACTCAGTATGAGTCTGACACTCTCTCCCGCCTCATCAGGGCGGGAGAAGCCATTGGATGATTTCCCCCCTCAAAAAAATATGTCAAAAAAATCCTTGAACAGTGTTGATTACAACTAGATATTATTACACAAAAGTAACATTTCATTTCTTGCTATTATGACAATAAAACTTGTTTTTGACCATCACTTGTATGTTTAGAGCATTTCGTTTACACACTGAATATGTAATCTTTGATAACGTGGGATAGAACTCAACTTACTTACAGCTGTGCCTTTAGCCAAACGCCACTTTAGCGCTTGTCTACAGAGATAATAAAAAACTAAACGTATGGGGATAACACTGACAACTGTCAAAATTTACGTCAATTCCATATAATTTGGTTTTCTATTCTACATGTAGACAAGCGCTAAATGGCATTTGGCTACAGCTGCTGAACTGAGTCATTGACAGACAAAACAATCTAGTCAAAAAGCAACGTTATAAAATAAAAACTACAATTTCAGCATCTTCAGCCTCAGCTGTGTTATAGAAGCGTGTGCTAATTAAACTTTTTAGCATAGTTAGCTAATTATTATTTGCTTTTATTGCGTAAACATATTGTGACGCATTTTATTTTAATCTAATTAAGTGCACACGTGTGTTCCCTTATGTGGAGCAGTTAGTCTGTGCTGTAACTTTCAATTCGAAAGATAGAAGTGAACTGCGTATCGTAACCGTCCCGTGAGTTCTTAATACCCTGTTTTACTTAAAGACCTTTCTTCTTCGGAGCATATCAAAGGTGCAATCGCTTGCTCATTTCGGCTCTATTCTTTGTAGAATGCGTGTTTAGAAAACAATTGTTAAGACTTTTATATTTTAGGTACTTACAATACTTTGGTTCCGTAGATTTTAGATTTATTAAAATATCGTATTACAAGACTCTGTCTTGTAGTAAGTAGTAGTCACGGTTAAATAGAGCCCCTAGTTTAAAGTTGTAATCGACTGATTTTTATTAGTCCTATTAAAACCTAGAAAATGTAATTAACTATGATTTTTTTTATGGCATAAGCCGGTAAATGAGCAGACGGATCACGTGATGGTAAGCAATCGGCGTCGCCCATGGACACCTGGAACTCCATAGGCGTTATAAGTGCGTAACCGGCCTTTTGGGGGTTAGGAGTTTGAGGATCGTTCGGGATTCAGGAATTGGGGAGATTGGGGAAGGGGAGGGTAATTGGGCCTCTGGTAATCACTCACACGACGAAACACAACGCAAGCGTTGTTTCACGTCGGTTTTCTGTGAGGCCGTGGTATCACTCCGGTTGAGCCGGCCCATTCGTGCCGAAGCATGGCTCTTCCACACTTAATCAATATTATCACTGATATCATCATCTGTACGGCGAGTTTTAGGGAGACGAGTTAGGCACACGGGAGATGCTACATAGATAACAGTGTTTATTATGATATTAAGTAATATAATTTAGGATACATACTCACTTAAATTTAGCGTACAGTAATAGGCACTTAGGTATACTAATACTTTGACAGCCTATAAGCCTCTTCAACTTAAGAACGGTCATAAGAAGCAAATCAGTTTCTAGTACCATCATATAGGTGCCCAAAATCCTTCTTGACCAACGCACCGCATACAATTTGCAAACCTCTTCGAACGTCATAAAAACCGATCTCATAACAAATGACAAATTGATAGACAACCCCCAAAATTATGTCTTCAAAGCTTCAAAGACCTCTAAAAAACGTAAAAACTAAAATTGAACTTTATAATAAGTGGGATAAAGTTGACGAAAACACTTTAAATATATCGTTTGTTATTCACATAATGCATTGAATACGATCATTACACGGTTGTTTGTCCTTTTGTTGCCTTTTGTGTTCTCCCGCCATTGTAGTTTGACGTTTAGCGGTAGCCATGTTTTTTTGGCGGGATACAGATGACATTTTTGGGAATCCTCAAGAGTTTTAAAAGTTCGTTACGAATTTTTGACATGTTTTAATAAAGATTCATCCATCCTGGATGAAGAAGTGAAAAAAAAATATTTTAATTCATTTTCTCAGTTCAAAAATTCTATTTAATTCTTTTAAATAGGACTTTTTTGAGTTATATTTGGGACATAAAATAACATAACATAACACCACGCCTTTTATCTCCGAAGGGGTAGGCAGAGGTGCACACTATGCCACTGTACAATGTAACACCCACTTTTCACTATTTATCTTATGAGTCCCATGTAATACGGGGTGAGCCTATTGCCTTACATTTGGGACTCAACGTAATTAGGTACCAATACTTGATCTTCCACCGCAACCAAAGAAGTTTGTATAAGATAGAACGGAAATTAAGCAGGCTATGATTAAGTGTAACATTTTTATTCTTTACATTAACAAACCCTAGAACTCAAAGTTTTAAAAGACATACTAAAAATGACACATCTCCAATTTTGATAACAACAAAATGATATACGGAACCAGCATTAAACCAGGTATCATGAAGCACCACTAGTCCACTACCCTTCAACAGTGAAGCAAGCAACAATAGAGGATCGACACTGAGATAAAACTACAAATAAATGTAAAGCCCTCGATATAAGAGGTTTTGTTAAATAAGATGTTTATTTAGATAATGTAATTAGCATGGAATTATGGAAGGACTGTTTCCTTTTGACGGAAGAGTACAACATTTTTTGCAGCCCTTCATCTTCTCGTGGGTATCGTAACATACTAAGGGACTATCATCATCATCTTCGTCAATAGCCTATAAGTGAACACTACTGACCAAATGCCTATTCTCACACGAAGAGGGTTTGAGCATTAATCACCACGCTTGCTCAATGCGGGTTGTGATTTCAAACTTATTATAATTAGAAGACACACAACTTGCCGTAGGTTTCGAGCCCGCACTCTCATGCATGAGAAACGGGCGTTTTAACCTCCGAGGGCGAGCCACCACGACACCTATAAAGGGTTATATTTGACTGTTCTTGCCAATTGAGAAGCTTATGACAAATCCTCTTTATGTAAAGGTACTGTAACTATAAAATAGTTCTACGCTACAATGCGAAATAAATAGCAGATATAAGAAAACTCAGCATTTACACGAACTCAAACACAGAACTAAGGAAACTAAGAAACTCAACAATGCCAAAAACCATCATAAAAGTCAAGTAGCAAACTCGAAAGGTTCATAAAAAACATCGCGCCCTTATTAAAAGTATAACAAATAGGGGTGTCTATGGTATAAAGCCCCGTCTATGGTAGGGGTGCTTACAATATGCTTGGTAACGACATAAGTTACTATAATAGGTACCACGGTTTGGAGCCCCGTGGAGAATTTACAAAACCATTGCTAATGCCATGAAGGT